GGGGGGGACCGTTCGTCTCGTCGACAACGGCCGGCCGGCGCCTGCCGCATGGAAAGCAGCAATGGGTGTGAGAAACCGAAGTAGGCAGCATGAGAAGCTTCCATCCTCCATCCTCCCCTCCGACCAAGGAATTGTCCAGTAAGATGCCGCCGGGCCTCCACGTCGTGCAGCCACTGGCCTGCAGCCGGTCTGGCTATCTTAGGTTCAATTGCACTTGGAAGTTGGGGGGTGTTGGAGAAATCGACGCCCGTGGCCCAGCCTGCGATGCGTCCTTTTGGCACTTGGGCAGGCAGGCGCACGGCCCTCGCTGAGCAGTCTGTGACTGAGGAATGTGGTTCCTGTGCTCTTGAGGTCGATGCAAGACAATCGTCAATCAAAGGCCCTCGGCGGTTAATCAATCCCTCGGCAGAGCAGGCCAGGCCAGGGCGCATGCACAGTCTCGTTTCTTTTTTGCAAATAGTCCCTGGCTGTTTTTAGCACCCCCTCACCGTTTCGCCAGCTGGGACGACGACACCGACTCTGGCCCGCCCTCAATCCCCACACCCGCCAGCGCAGGCCCATTTCCCAGTCTGGCATCCCCTTGGCGGCCGTCTGACGGTCCCACCGCTCGCCCGCCAGCGAACCCTGGCTGTGAGCTCATAGGGGACCACATCGTGTTGGATCTGTCCAGGATTTTATGGTCTTTGTCCTGGATCCAGGCACAAACCAGAGGTGAAGACGAAAAAAAAATAAGAGAGAGCCCCTGGTCTCTTTTAATCGGTCCCTTGTCTACTGTGTAGCGGCCCGGGAAATCTGCATTCTTCCCTCTTTTTTCCCTCGCACTCCATTCTACGTTGGTTGTCGGCAATCGGTCGACACGGCGCAACAGAATCAGATTCCTGCCATATCGGACCAGAGAAGCTGTCAACTCACATCAATCCGCGTCCCAAACAGACTCGGCGTCAGGTATGTTCACCAGGCCCAGACTACAACAGAAGGATACCTGGAAGGATACCTATCACATAGTCCCGGAAGTCCCGGAAGTCCTGGCCTGACCAGAGTGTCACTCTGCCCTGAAAATTGCACAAAAAGATACAACTCCATCCGCACCTCCCACTATCAGCGCGGGTTGTACCCTATGCATACTATCAATCATTTGCTTGTCCCTTCAGTCTGAGATCTCCCGCTTGGAATCGCCAACGCGCTATTATTGCCGATATGCTAACTTGCCACTCCGCCAAGCCATCCACTGAACGACCTCTTGTCACTCACCCTCCTATACACCTCTACAATCCATCACGTCGGTCTGGCTGGCCGCCCAAGTGCTCGCCCCGACTTTTACCCCTGCTTATCGCCATAATTTCTCCAGCGCCACCATAACCACCCATCCAAGAAAATGCAGGAGACACGCCCAGACTGCATCCTGTAATTTTTCTTGTCTTGCGCGTTTTTGACCTCTTGCATCCTTGGGCGTATTCTGTGCTTTTCCTTCTTATCAGGCCGCCCCGAGCCTGCTCAGCACCTGCTCAGCACCACGCGCCTGTCGTGGGGAAACGGCATTGGCTATTGTGGACGAATCGATATCCAAAAAGAGGCCTGAGGATCGCGAATCCCATCGATAGATCTATATCCCGGCGGACAGCAGAAACAGATCAAGGCTGTCAAGATGAAGTTTGGAAGAAAGTATGAGCGTTTCCGGCCCCAACCTTGACACTGACATCGGCACCGCCTTTTCCCCTCATTCTCATGCCCCAACAACCATGACGTCGTGTTACTCACACCGCATTGCAGCCTCCCCCGCAACCAAGTCCCAGAATGGGCGTCCGCGTACATAGACTACAAAGGACTCAAGAAGCTCATCAAGGCCGCGGCCGCGACCGCGCAGAAGGGAGAGAAGGCGGACCTTGCAGGTGGGACTCTCCTCGGAACGAGACGCGGGGGCTGAGCCCGTCATCGCCTAACCGTTTTCCCATTGTGTCTTCTACCCACAGAATTCTTCTTCGCCTTGGACCGGAACCTCGAGGATGTCGACGCCTTTTACAACCGCAAGTTTGCCGACGCCTGCCGCCGCCTGAGGCTGCTGCACGACCGCTATGGCAGCAACGCCGACTCGGTGGCGAACCTCGACGAGGACGAGGTTGAGGAGCTTATGGGTGCTATGCTCGATCTGCGCACTCGCCTGAGGAATCTGCAGTGGTTCGGCGACATCAACCGCCGCGGCTTTGTCAAGATCACCAAGAAGCTGGACAAGAAGGTACCCGACACGGTCACCCAGCACCGCTACATCGCCACCAGGGTCGACCCCCTCCCCTTTGCCAAGGAGAACACCATTGTGCGCCTGCTGAACGACGTCAACAAGTGGCTGTCCGTCCTTGGTGATGCCCAGAACATTGACGACGCCAGGTCTGACCGCTCGGCAAGGTCTCTGGGCCGCGCCTCTGCCAAGGCCATGATGAACTTTGCGCCTGCTCTCATTGACAAGCTGGACGGTGCCATCCGCAGCGATGACATGGACGCGCTCAAGTCTGGGCTCGCCGAAGGCAAGCTGGACTTGACAGACACCAGCGCCCAGAGCCTCCTGCTCAACCTGGTGCAGCGTTCCATCTCGGCGAGATCAAGGGCTTCCATCTCGTTCCTGCTGGGTCACGTCAAGTCTCTTGATGACCCAGAGGACATCAACGGCCGTAACTGCATCCACAGACTCGTCATCCACATTGGTCGCTCCAAGACGACGTCTGCCGGCGAGCAGGAGCCCGTCTCGTACCCGTTCCCCAACTCTGGAAAGTTCGAGGTTTCTCTGGGCGCCAACTATGTCACACCTCCGGCCCCTGTGCCGCCCGGAGTCGCCCGTCCGCAACAAGGGCCCGTGTCCAAGGAGGAGAAGCTCATTGGGCTAAGCGACGACGCCGTGCAGACGCTGTCGTACCTGCTCGATACCCTAAAGGAAGAGCACAGACCCGCTCTCGCCGCCAGGGACTCGTTTGGCCGCACGCCGCTGCACTATGCGGCACAGTTCGGTATTGTCGATGTTTCGCAGCTGCTCATGGCCAGGATGCAGGCCTGGGGCCAGTTCGACGTCAGCCACGGCATCGACGCCCCCGAGTGGCAGGACAACGAGGGCAGCGCCCCGCTGCACCTGAGCGTCATCGGCGGCCATGCCTTGACGACCAAGGCGCTCCTTCAGGGCGAGAGCTGGCAGGGGCCGCTCGAGGACAGGGTGGAAGTGCGGAGGGCCGTGTCCAAGTCGAGCGCCGTCCTCGCTATCGCGACCAAGCACAACCACCAGGACATCGTCAAGATGCTGGTCGAGGCCGGTGTCGACATCAACTGGCAGGATAAGAGCGGCGAGACGTCGTTGCACATTGCCGCCCGCTTCGGCCACGACGAGTGCGCAAAGATTCTCCTCAAGGGAAGTGACGAACAGAGGGCAGACCTCGAGCTCGCCGAGAAGTCGTTCGCGTGGGCACCCCTCCACATCGCCGCGGTGGACGGGCACCTGTCGGTTGCGCAGCTCCTTGTGGACGCCGGGGCCGACGTCGACAAGGGCGACTCTTCGGGCTGGACGGCCAAGGAGCATGCCGCGCTCCGTGGCCACATGCCCATCGCCAGACTGCTGGCGGCGCATTCCAGCATCGACGAATCGGCGCCGACCAACGGCGCAGAGTCCCAGCAGCAGCAGCCCGGCCAGCCGAGCACGGGCACGTCGCCGCCAGAGGTGTCCTCGCTCGGGGACCGGCGCTCCAACATGTCGGCGCGCCCGGCCGAGCCCATCAGGGCGTACGGCCACCGCTACCTCAAGGACCAGACCATGATTCTGGTCAGCCTGGGAAGCATGGACATGCGCAAGCACACCGAGGCCGTCAAGCTCGACCGCGTCCCGCTCGCCGAGGCCCACACGACGCAGCTCGACACGGCACTCTCGCTGGTGATATCGGCCACGGGCGCCCAGGGCGAGTCGACCGTTGTCGACCTTCCCGTGCACGAGAACATCTGCACCGAGCCCGTCATCTTCCAGACGACAGACGTGGCCAAGGTCAAGCTCCTGTTCGACATCGTCCCGACGTACTCTGGAAACGAAAAGAACAAGATCGGGCGCGGAGTGGCGCTACTCTCGAGCTTGCGGCCGTCGATTGGGGCCAAGCGCATGAGCCTCCAGGGCGACGTCTGCGTCCCCATCTTGGCCTCGAACCTCGACGTCATCGGCTCGGTCCACTTCAACTTCCTCGTCATCACGCCCTTTGCCCACCCCAACATGGAGGTCACCTCCAAGCAGACGTACTGGAAGAAGATGTCGTCGACCATGGTGATCGGCCACCGCGGGCTCGGCAAGAACCTGGCGGCCAACAAGTCGCTGCAGCTGGGCGAGAACACAGTGCCGTCCTTCATCGCGGCGGCGAACCTGGGCGCCAACTATGTGGAGTTTGACGTGCAGCTCACCAAGGACCACATCCCCGTCATCTACCACGACTTCCTCGTCAGCGAGACGGGCATCGACGCGCCCGTGCACACGCTGACGCTGGAGCAGTTCCTGCACATCAACCCGGACTCAAACCGGAGCCACAGCCCCTCGGCGAGCGCCAAGAAGGGCGGGGACGGCGGCAGCAACAACGGCGTCAACGGCGGCGGCTCCAACGGGGCCGGGCTGGGTGCCGCCAAGGATAACGGGGCGGGCCTGCTGGCCAAGAAGAAGGTGCGCAGCAACAGCCCCGGGCCGCGGCAGCGGTCGCAGTCGATGGGGTGGAGCGCGACGGACACGACGGTGCTCGACGAGCGCATGAAGCACACGCGCGACTTCAAGCTCAAGGGCTACAAGGGCAACTCGCGCGGCAACTTCATCCAGGCGCCCTTCGCGACGCTCGAGGACCTGTTCCACAAGCTGCCCGAGGGCGTGGGCTTCAACATCGAGATGAAATACCCCATGCTGCACGAGAGCGAGGAGCACGAGATGGACGCCTACGCCGTCGAGCTCAACTCGTTCTGCGATACGGTGCTGGCAAAGGTCTACGACCTCGCGGGCCCGCGCAACATCCTGTTCTCGTCCTTCAACCCGGACATCTGCCTGTGCCTGTCCTTCAAGCAGCCCAACTTCCCCATCTTGTTTCTTACCGACGCAGGCACGTGCCCCGTGGGCGACGTGCGGGCCAGCAGCCTCCAGGAGGCGATCCGGTTCGCGAGCCGCTGGAACCTCCTCGGCGTGGTGAGCCAGGCGGAGCCGTTTGTCAACAGCCCGCGCATGGTGCGGGTGGTGAAGCAGCACGGGCTGGTGTGTGTGAGCTACGGGACGTGGAACAATGATCCCATCATGGTTCAGGTGAGTGTTTTACTTTTTCTTCTCTTGTCTCTCCGCCTATCAATTGTCTGCTGACCACTGTTTTGTCGCCTTGTAGCGTCAAGTCAAAGAAGGTATCGATGCCGTCATCGTCGACAGCGTCCTGGCCATCCGCAAGGGCCTCACGCAGGCCGAGGCCGACGCCCCGACGAACGGTTCGGTGCAGGAGGCTGTGCAGGCGGTTGCCGACACTGGCGGCATGGTCGGCACGAAGGATGAGATCCTCGCTGCGTGAAGACGGAGGGCAGCGGAGGGGAGGGGAAGGCAAGTATAATGAACCACCTTGACCTATACACGCGCTAGAATACTACCTAGACAGGCGGATGTGGTATTTGGCTGTATTTTATGTATATCCGGCATTTTTTTTGGAGGCCATAACGCTCAACTCTCAGAAGAGGAGACTGGTATGGGTTGGTGACGCTAGGAGCGAGAGGAGGTAACAACGAAGCACATGAATATATATGGTATCAACTTTCAGTGTGGCATATTGTTTTATGATTTTATGTAACCCGATATGGTAGTGCTGTTGTTGGACTGACTTGGCCGTCACGAGGCGGCAGTGATATGGCGATGAGGGCAGCAGGCTCACTTTTAGGTGTGGGTGGACTTTATTGACTCACCTCACTGGTGTTGATCACGCTTGAGGCATAATATTCCCACCGGGAGTCTACAGTCTGTCGTTTTATCTCCTTTTTTCTTTTCTTCAGGAAACCACCTGCTTATTTGGATATTCACCTCCTTGACCACCGCAACCGACACTGACTCGTCCAGTCAAGACCGGCCTCACGAGCCGAGGGGCACCAAAACAAGCAGCCAGCACATTCATTTCCAACACAAAAAAACAACCACCCCACCAGGCCAATACCCCCCCTCCCCCAAAAATGGACACACCACGCATCCAGTTCCTCGCCCCGACGCCCGCCATAGCCGGCTACGACCGCGCCCTCGGCCCCGCGTCCCCGGCGGTACCGCGCGCCTTCGCCGACGCCATGGCGGTGCGCGAGGCCGTGTTCGTGCGCGAGCAGGGCGTGGCGCCCGAGAACGAGCTCGACGCCGACGACGCCCGGTCGTGCCACTGGGTCGCCTACGACACCACCACCACCACCACCACCACCACCACCACTGCTGCTACAGAACAACAAAAACCAATCGGCACCCTCCGCCTCGTGCCGTCCCCGCACCCGCCGCACCCGGAGCCCGGCGGCGTCTACTACGACGGCAGGCTAACGGGGCGCAGGAGGGATGGCACGGGGGATGATGATGATGATGAGGTGGTAGAGGAGGTGAAAAAGGAGGGCGACGACGACGACGACGACGGCGACCGCCCCACATCACTGCACGACGGCCGCAAGCCCTACGTCAAGCTGGGCCGCCTGGCCGTCGCGCGCGAGTTCCGCGGCAGGGGGGTCGGCGGCCTGCTGGTGCGGGCCGCGCTGCGGTGGATGCGCGAGCACCCGGCCTACTTTGACGCCGCGACCACCACCACCACCACCACCACCACTGGGGAGGAGGCGCCACAACCGCACAAGTGGGACGGCCTCGTGTGCTGCCACGCCCAGGAGCAGGTGCGGCACGTCTGGGCGAGCTACGGCTTCGAGCTAGACGAGGGCATGGGCAGGTGGTGGGAGGAGGGGATGCCGCACGTCGGCATGTTTCAGCGGCTCAAGCTCGAGCCTGTTGATCCATAGTGTCTGCCGATATCTCGACCTTTTCAGCACAGCCACCGAGCCATACTTCACTCCAAAGGGACTGACGACTGTCTTTATCAATGACGTCTTGTTGGCACATGGAGTTCTCCTATGATAGCAACACCCACATCACCAAAACAGAGGAACCCAGCTAGAAAAAAAAAATGAACATGACTTTTGGTCAAAGATCCTTCGTGATTTGCCCTCCAATGAGCAGAGCTTTTTTTTTTAGAGCCCTAGTTGACAAAGAATGCCAGCGTGAAAAATTCGCACCCGCCTTTGCCAAATCCCGAACGCGCAAATGCAACTTTCCGTGAGAAAGAGAACCCAGAGAAAGAACTTCCCATTGACAGCATGCATGCAAGCAGCCCCGATCCCATCTGCGCCGCTTGTGTCCCCAAACAGGTACCCACGTCCAAATAGTAATCCTCCCAGCGCCTTTACCGGTTGCTCTTCGCCACACGCTCCAACTCGTCCTTCTTCTTGATCGCGTACGAGTTGCTGCTGCCCTTGGCCGCGTTGATCAGCTCCTCAGCCAGGCACTCGGCGATCGACTTGACGTTGCGGAACGACGCCTCGCGGGCGCCCGTGGTGAGCAGGGCAATGGCCTGGTTGACGCGGCGCAGCGGCGACACATCGACGGCCTGGCGACGGACGGTACCGGCCGAGCCGATACGGGTGCTGTCTTCGCGGGGGCCGCAGTTGACAATGGCGTCAACGGCGATCTGGATGGGGTTCTGGTCGGTCATCAGGTGGATCTGGGAGCAAGAGTTAGCTTTTTCTGTGTAGTCGTCATCCACCCGTCCGCACTACCATTGGGCATGTTCAACACTGTTAGACTTACGATCTCGAAGGCGTGCGCAACGATGCGGACAGCCATCAGCTTCTTGCCGTTGTTTCGGCCGTGCATCATCAAAGAGTTGGTAAGGCGCTCAATGATGGGGCAGTTGGCCTTGCGGAAGCGCTTGACGGCATAGCGACCAGCGGAGTGGGGGATGTAGACGGGTGAGCGGATCTGGATGTAGTCTCTGTGCAGAGGAGTCCAATGTCAGCCCTGGTACGAGACAATTGTCGTCGTCGTCGCCACCGCCGCCTCTGTGACTGCTGTCCGTCCTGTTCCGCATGGCCGCCGCAGCGTCTTCACAGTGGGGAATGCCACCACACCACCGCATTCCAAAGAACACCCGCCGCCGCCAAAACCCGTCTCCCACACAGAACAAGTCGCAGGCCCCGGAAATCGAGCGGCGGAACGGCGGGCAAAGCGAGAGGGAGCAAAAGGCCTCCTTACGTCAGGGAGATATCGCGGATCTCAACATCCTCGTAGCTCCACTTGTTGAAGAGCTTGATGCTGCCAATCTCGGCGACAACATCCTTGGGGAGGGCCTGGTAGCCCGAGACGGCCTCGACCTCGATCTCTCCGTTGTCAGACATGGTTTCGGCGGATGTGCTGACCGTGGTGACGGGGAAAAAAGGCTGGTGGTTGCGGGAGTTGTCGCGGTTTGAGGTTCGAGGTTCGAATTTCCAGAGGGCTGCAAAGGCGGGAACTGCTTTCGCACGCAAGAGGTCGCACACGCACCAGAGACGCACCAAAACTGGATAGGCGGGCGCAGGGCAAAGAATTCGTGGTGGCCCCGCCGCATAGGACCCTACGCTGATTGGCCCGCCGCCTGCTGCAAGACTGATTAGGGTCCAGACCTAAGCCCCGACTGCTGCTCCGCTTCTCGCACCCTGCTCAGATTGGTCGGGCTGCCAGTTTCTATGGCCGCCGTCTTCAAACCACCACGGCCATTTCTCAACCCACTTGGACTCTGACTGAAGCCACCTCCTTTCAACCACACATCATCAACACATAGACTGACAAGATGGTACGTTGCGCCCGCCGCCCCGACGGAGACCAACAGCACTCTCTAACAATGGACCGTCGGATTTAGGCTCCCGCTGCCGGTGCCAAGAAGCAGAAGAAGAAGTGGTCGAAGGGCAAGGGTAAGCGACAATTCCTGCAATCACCCCACGTCGTGAGAATGCGGCGGCGGCGACAGCGACCGCGACAGACCGGGAGTTCTCTCGAGGGAGCGCAGTTGCACTCGACAGCACGACACGGCACAAATTGCGACGCGGGCGCAAATGAGGGGAAACATGGGCTAACGATGTTCCTCGCGATACAGTCAAGGACAAGGCCCAGCACGCCGTCCTCCTGGACAAGAGCACCTCGGACAAGCTCTACAAGGATGTTCAGTCGTACCGCCTCGTCACCATCGCCACCCTCGTCGACAGGCTAAAGATCAACGGCTCGCTGGCTCGCAAGTGCCTGGCCGACCTGGAGGAGAAGGGCCAGATCAAGCCGGTTGTCACCCACAGCAAGATGAAGATCTACAGTACGTCCGCTGCTCCCTGATCGAACGGCGTCAGCGATCCAATACTAACCAGCGTCAACCCACCCATAGCCCGCGCCGTCACCGCCGCTGAATAAATAACTTGATTTTCACGATTGACACGACCGCTTGCTTGCTTTGTGACAGGGATGGAATGCTGGCGGATTTGACATGATTTCAATCTCGCCGCGGTGGGAAAACCGGATACGGATGGGTTATGGATTCATCTCTGGGAGTTATCTTTTGGCACTTGGTGTAGCGTACGGCATGGAAACATCCAAGGCCTGTAGGGCCGCAAGTCCGTTGAGGACATGACAAAGGCGTCTTGATACACCTCACTTCCACCTCGTAGCATCTCCATGTGTTTATGCATTCTAGGTCGACCTGTCACGGACAAGGCTGTCACAGGCATATCCGAATTGTTGTGATGGCCGTTCAACAAAGTGCAGTTTAAGCATACTGCAGCACTATCTAGACTTGCCGAGACCTCCTCATAGGTGGTGCCCCAGTAGCCTACGTTGTGTGCTGGCCCTAATGGACATTCAGGTGTGGCGTTTCCCATGTTACCGGCCCACTTCGATGCTTCCCCGGAAGAGTATCTCCAGGTATTCCCACTAGATCCCCAAGCCTGCACATGCAGTCTCTTCTCTATTATTTTCTTCGATGGGGAACATGCAATGCTTGAATATGCCCACACTCCTTTGAAGCACATAAAGTAAAACACGGACACAAATATGAGTACATGAAAGAGGATCTCGCAGTGCATGCTAGCCTAGCGTTTTGGGAAGGTGAAACTTTCGGTCCTCGGGAGCCCCAGCTAGGGAGCCGGGCTTGGCATGTGCACGGCAGCGCAGGTCGCGCCAGGAGGCAAATTCAGCGCCGGACTCGCCGACAGCATCACTACCCATATTCTCGGATCGACCACCGTGGTCTTGGACGGGAGGGGAGGCCCATCGGGAGGCGACGGGTTGCGTCAAGGACCCTTGGCAAAAAACCGTCCCTTGATCCAACTACCGTAGCCATCCCGAGCCAACGACTCGGCCTACTACGTGGGCGCGGCCTTTCGCCAGACTCGACGATCAAGCCCGGGTGCAGATTGGGTATCATGTGTAAGCCTTGGGTTTTATGTTTGACTCGCTTTCTCACTTGTGTGAAGTTCTCGAGCCCAACGACCGAGGTAACAGGCCGGGGCTCAGCGGCTGTTAGTCTAGAAGTGGAAGCAGGGTTACAACCGCCAGGCGAGAAGAGAGGGTTGGCGGTCCGGGACATCTCGGTGACGGGGTCACGGATGATGGCAGCAACGTAAGAATCGAAATGGGACAGGTCCCGCCCGTCCCTTTGCCCGACAGGAAGAGAAAAAAAAGGTGCAAGGCTGTGGCCAAACAGGTCCGAGCTGACCCGCAAATGTGAACCTTGGGGGGCTTCGGGGAGCTTTTGACTCGCCTGAGCGACAGCGACCGATGCAAGCCTCCTGCCCCTGAGCTTGAGAAAGCCAGACTTTTGCCTGCAGCGTGTTTCCGTCGTGGTGGGAAATGCTACCATGGATGTGCGGTGCAAATCCTATCCAGCCCTAAGCCCAGCCATGGCTTCGACTTTGCATGCCGGCGGCCAATCCGGTGCTAGGTCGAGACGGCCAGCAGAGACGAAGCTTCGGATTCCACTAGATGTTGGCGAGCTGGCGTCTACTATAAGCGGCAGTGTGTCTTGCGCGGACTGGACCGAGGAAGTGAGTTAGTGGGGGAGGAAGGCCCAACGATGGCCACGCAGAAAAAGAAGGGCAAAGTAATCCTGGTCCTGGGTAAGCCAGAGCTTCCATTCAAAGAGCCAGGTCGATATTTTTTGCGGCCCGTAGCTCCATCCCTGTTAGGGATGCACGCGGATTGGTCGGTCTGGAGGCATCGGTCCTGCGCACAAGCCACATATCGGATGTGGTATGGAAAATGGAGGACAGCTGTGGGGCTACTAGGCCTGCGCTTCGGCTTAGCGCCAGAAAGATTCCTGTCCTTCCCGACCCAGGGCAAAAAATTTCGCTCCCATAAATTCCCGTCGCAGGAACCGCGAGTTTTTTCACGGCTTCCCTCCAACACCATCCTTCACAGAGTTCTTTTCTCTGTCCAGTTTCTTTCTTTTCACATCTCCACTCACTCCCTTAAGTCAAGCGATTGCTTAGGTCAACCGCCAAAATGACTTCCAAGGATGACATCCGCATCATGGGCATGCCGGTAAGCCAAACCTCCCCTCCAGCCGAGCAGGAAAAATTTCCTCGTAGGCTCCTCTTCGAGGCTATCGACGCTCTGTGCCTGCTCCCGATCTTGCTCGATACCAATTGGCACCACTGGCCGCGGGCTCAACCTCAGCCATTGGATCATGTTTGGTTTCGGCGTTGGGAGCAGACGTCGGGCTCACTGTCCTTGACGTTCACCTCGGCATGACCACAAACCCCGCTGCTATGATGGAGCAACGAGCTGACGTCTTTCCTTGTGCCTCTAGCCCTTCATGATTGACTTCCTGAGTATGTTCCCTCGATCGGTCGCCTTCGCGTCGGCTTGATGCGATCGCCCCGCCATCGGCAGCATCACGACCCCTCGCCTACCATACAGCAGCGCCTAGCAAACGGGGGAAAAGAAGACAATCTGACATGTATCAACAGTGGGCGGTGTCTCCGCTGCCGTCTCGAAGACTGCCGCTGCTCCCATCGAGCGTATCAAGCTCCTCGTCCAGAACCAGGTTCGTCCGCCCCGCCCAGTTTCCCTGTTCCCAATCTTGTCACCGCCCAACTTCTCTTGCGCTTCGAGCCAACCTCGCTGGGCAATTCCGCCTCGGGATATCTCAGCATGGTCACGTGCAATAAGAGCATACTATATATACCGCCCACTAGATGTAACACTTGCTGACAGCCCCACAGGAGGAGATGCTGAAGGCTGGCCGCCTCGACCGCCGCTACGATGGTATCATGGACTGCTTCAGGCGTACCACCGCCGATGAGGGTGTGATGGCTCTGTGGCGTGGCAACACTGCCAACGTCATCCGTTACTTCCCCACCCAGGCCCTGAACTTTGCCTTCCGTGACAAGTTCAAGAAGATGTTCGGCTACAAGAAGGAGAAGGACGGATACGCAAAGTGGATGGCTGGTAACCTGGCCTCGGGTGGTGTAAGTGAAGGCCATCTTTGCGCCCGAGTATCCTCAATCCGTTTGCGACCATGACTGACTTTTACCGCCCTCGAATCTAGGCCGCTGGTGCCACCTCGCTCCTCTTTGTCTACTCCCTGGACTACGCCCGTACCCGTCTGGCCAACGACAACAAGTCGGCCAAGGGCGGTGGCGCGCGTCAGTTCAACGGCCTCGTCGACGTCTACCGCAAGACCCTGGCCTCTGACGGTATTGCCGGTCTGTACCGTGGCTTCGGCCCCTCGGTCGCCGGTATCGTCGTCTACCGCGGTCTGTACTTCGGCATGTACGACTCCATCAAGCCCGTCGTCCTGACCGGCAACCTGGAGACCAACTTCCTCGCCTCGTTCGCCCTCGGTTGGTGCGTCACCACCGGTGCCGGTATCGCCTCTTACCCGCTCGACACTGTCCGCCGTCGTATGATGATGACCTCTGGTGAGGCCGTCAAGTACAGCAGCTCCCTGGATGCCTTCCGCCAGATCGTCGCCAAGGAGGGTGTCAAGTCGCTCTTCAAGGGTGCCGGTGCCAACATCCTGCGTGGTGTCGCCGGTGCTGGTGTCCTGTCCATCTACGACCAGCTCCAGCTCATCATCTTCGGCAAGGCCTTCAAGGGTGGCTCTGGCTAAATGTCTCGGCCAACCCCTCTGTATAATTTCTTGGGAGTCAGTCGGGTGAGCGGTGACGTCTGGCCCAAGGCCAGCCAAGCGCGACTTACCCGAGCCGTCTCAGGGTCGGATGTTTGAATGGGGAGTCGGACGGTAGATTCGGTTGGAGGTTTCCACGGCGAACGTGGCACCTCAGCTTCCGAAGGACTTTGCGGACGTTAAAAAGGCTAGCGGGGCGTTTGGCATCTTTCCTTGTGCCTGGCCGACTTTTTTCTCGACCGCTGTAATTTATACAATCTAGGCCAGTTTCCCCGGTGTCTTCCTTGCAACGATCGTCTACGCTCGAGATATCCTGGGTTATATGGTCGGGTTTCCTTTCATCGCACGACTCGATAGATTCCTTTTTGGTAGCTGCGGTTCCAGACCGTCAATGCCATGATTTCCTTGATAAACATCGTTGTGATCGTGTTGCTCCATCTCGCTCTTTGATGTTTTCGAGCTGTAACATCTTCAGCCATGGTCTGAGCAGTTGACACGGATGTCTGCAGGATGCCGCTATCTGAGCGGAATCGAGTGCAGTAGTGACGAACGGGATGGTATGCATGATGACTTGGAACGAATCGCGTGCCAAACGCGTCCGTTCGCGTTGCTCCATATCTGCTTTTGCAGCTGGGCGCACAGGCAGCCACGGCGACAAGTTCATGTTAGACGCGAAAGTCGCAGTTATGCCTGGTTTCGTTTGTTGCCGATATTTTTCTTGATCCAAGGCCTTTCCTCCCCATCGGGGAACCGTGCAGCTTGTTCCACCCAGACCCAAAGCTGCCGGGGTCCTTCGCCCAACACACCCCACCAACAGTCTTGGAACTCACGACCTTCCCTGTCCATTCCCCAAGCGCACCACGCCATGCCGCCGAAGCAATCGGCACCAAAACCTCGAGGCCGGCCGCCGTCCAAGCCGAGCGGCGGAGCCGGTTCCTCGGGGCCACGACGGTCCGCCGGGGCGGGCAGCAAGGCGGCGGGGTCCGGGAGACCAAAGAAACCGACCTCGGCGCCGGTACCTGCCGATTCCGACGACGAGGTGCCGGACGCGCCCGATGCAGATGAGGAGGAGGAGGCAGAGGAGGCAGAGGAGGAGGAGCAAGACGAGGACGCAGAAGAGAGGGGCAGGCCCAGGCCGCGGGCGCGACAAGGCGCGGCGGCCGGCGCCGGTGGCGGTGGCAGCAGCAGGGCTGGGGGCGGCAGCAAGGGCAAAGGAAAGGCGGCGGCGGCAACGGTGGTGCTGGACGACGACGAGTTCGACGACCCCTTTGCCGACGACGACTTTGACGGCGTTGACAACGACAATAACAACAACAACAACAACGGCGAGGGGGGCGAGGCAAAGGAGCAGCCCAGACGGATCCCGCCCGAGCTGCTGCGGCGGCTGCTGCACGAGTTCTTCGACAAGGGCGGCACGCGCATATCGAGCGAGGCCAACGGGGCGCTGGCGCGCTACTTTGACGTGTTTGTACAGGAGGCTATCGCGCGCACCATGGCGGAGCGGTCGGGGCGGTTCCTCGGGGTATGTCTTCTTTTTTTCTCCTTTTTTTTGACAGCTGCTACTTACTTCCTGTCGGCGCTTGCCGAGTTCAAATCCACGAAGCTGACAGTCACAACGCCGCATGGCTGGTTCTAGGTCGAGGATCTCGAAAAGGTTGCGCCGCAGCTTCTGCTTGATCTCTAAGGGCGCCCAAAGGCAACCGAAGGTGGTTTTGGTTTACAGCATCGAGCAGACTATCCACCCTTTTTGCAAGAAACACACTCGGATACGGCGACAAACACTGGGAACATGCGCGCTTGGCGATTCGCAGGCAATACATTCATGTTGGAGAGATGTCCAACTTGTCTTCTCCTTGCTCTCTAACGCTCGAAGTTTGTAGAGCTTGATTCCAGCCACTCGAGCAGGCATAACGGCAATAGGTATGAATGTTGCGTAGGCCATCTTCCCTCACAGGGCTCTGTAAATGGAACTCGGGCTTGGAGCTGGGGCCCCGCAACAGGTGTGTGGAGCCGAACCAGGGCCTGCTTGACCTCCCCGGAATCTCTGACCCCGTGAGATCTGGCAAATACAGAACGCCTGGTGCGCACTGTTTCTTGAGCGTGGCTTTTTTTTTTTTGCTCTCTTTCCATCACGACCATTTCTGTCATCTTTAGCCACCACTGCGAGCCCTCCCAATCCTCACACGCACTCGGTCGGTAGGAGACCTTGTTGCTCAATCCCATCGCCACACACAGCAACAAGCTCGATTCCGACAAACACACAGCGCCGGCGCAAACCTCAAACGCTCGGGATAAGAGGCCAAAGATGGCAGACGAATCGGAGCTCCGGCAGAGGAAGCCGCCCGCGGCCACCTGGACCAAGATCGAGCCGGGCAAGAAGGACAAGACGGCGCAGGAGCTGGCCGACGAAGAGGATGCGGCGACCAACCCCTGGCTCGACATGCTGCGTCTCGCCGTCGGTCTGTTGATCGCCTATTGCGGCCTGAGTTACCTCGCCACCGGCGGCGAGACATTCTCGATGGGTTACGAGGTGCCCATGAAGTACATGCAGTTCGATTGGCTCAAGAGCAAATTCGTACGTGTGTTTTCGTCTGTCCCCCCCGTCGTGATCCAAATCCGCAAGCCGGCTCTGACACCGTCTCCCTTGCTCTTTCTCTCCCAAACAGCAAAACCCCACCTTCATGACCCCCGAGCAGCTCGCCGGGTTCGACGGCAGCGACGAGGCCAAGCCCATCTACCTGGCCATCAACGGCAGCGTCTTCGACGTCTCGAGCAACCGGCGCACCTACGGCCCGGGCGGCTCGTACCAGTACTTCGCCGGCGTCGATGCCTCGCGCGCCTACGTCACGGGCTGCTTCGCCGAGGACCGCACGCCCGACCTGCGCGGCGTCGAGGACATGTTCCTCCCACTCGACGACCCGGAGGTGGACGCGCACTTTACCGAGGCCGAGCTGGCCGAGATGCGCGTCAGGGAGCTCGAGGAGGCCCGGCGGCAGGTCCACGAGGCTCTCAAGCACTGGGTCGACTTCTTCGGCAAGAGTAAGAAGTACAGGTACGTCGGCCGCGTCAGGCGCAAGCGCGGCTGGCTCGCGGGCCAGCCAAGGCGCGAGCTGTGCGCGCCGGCGCAGAAGGGGAGGTCCAAGAGGAAGATTCCCGAGGGGAAGTGAGACTGTCGCGCCCTCGCGCATGGTACGGAGACGGCGGGCATTTTCCGTAAAGCCAGCCGCCCGGTTATCCTGCACATGTCTGCTGCCACACGTCAGATTACCTTCAAGGCCGTTTCTTTCTGTCATATCTATCTGCATTCTGTATAGGCAAATGCGCGCAATCACCGTGTACATGTTATCAGAAGGGTCTGTATTGAATAGCAAGAGGGATCGGACGAGTGCGACAGCTACCTGGCCCCGGCCACAATCCTGTCAAAATTGACGCACAGGCGGAAATTATGTGTATTCACATCATGTCTTGATCATTCAGCAATCTGCGGCTCGCAGTGGCGCGACTCTCGGATGCTCTCTCAATCCGAATAGATGGTGACATCAAGGCGCCCGTGCATGCATAAAACCCACCCCAATGTCTGAGCACCTACCGAAATACCCAACCTTTGCCACCGACCTTTTTTTAGACACACGAGGCGAAGTTCTTGCAGCTCCCTTACCTCGACTCTCAACGCCTACCTCCGCCGGCGGCCCCCGGGCCTGCGTTGCCTGCGCGCGCTGCGGTGGTCGTCGTGCCACGACGGCCCGCTGTCGTGGACGCGGCCTAACCCGGACCTGCCCTGCCGCGGGTTCATCTCGTAGATGCCGGCGCCCTGGATGCCGGCGATCTGGTACGGCTCGTCGTAGACCGCGAAACGGCTGCCCCGGCGGCCCGAGCTGAAGCAGCTGCCCATCGTCGTCGGTCGTTGCTGTGTTGCGTTTTTTTCTCACTTGCGGGCGGATTGGGGATTGGAGGTGGGGGCTTGTTGGGATTTGAGCACTAGTGGTCGAGATGGCCTGATGATGTTTTGTTCTTTTTTTTTTTCGGTAAGAGAAAAAGTTATTCCGGGCTTCTTTGTGTTTGGCACTTATACTTGAGAAAATCGAGTAGTGAAAAGTTGCAACCCGGTGACACATCCTGTCCTTGGTTGTGATTATCCAGAGGCGTAGTCCCTGGAATGGTGAATAGGGAGATATGAAAAAAGAAAAGATTCTCAGGTTTGTAACGGGTGATGCGACCTCAACAACACTGAGGTTGAGAAATAAAAGTATTCGCAACTGAGTTAATGAGAGTTTCTAGGTCCATAGTCGCCTTTCGAGGTGGCACGATTACCTGGAGTGAACGGAGGTTGCGTTGTGTCCTTCAGTCCTGCCATTGGGGTGATGGAGCAGTCCTAAAAGCTACAACAACACAGCCAGCTGCAAACCGATGTTGACAGGGGTGCGGAATCAATTTTCATTTCGATCAGGCCGATATAAAATGATGAAAACCCTATGCCCAGCCGATAAGAATGGGAGTTGTCCTAATAAACACCCACGCCCACCACAAAAAAATATGGCAATCCCACCGAACATTGGAAAAGCTGCTTAAGAAATAATAATAGGAATAGTGATAACACAATGAATAACAACAGGAATACTAATAAGAATAACAACATAAATAAGGATATGAAGAAAGATAAGAATAGGAAAAGCCCATGGCATTAAAAATCTTAACACCTGGGGCCTGTCAAACTGCCATTTTTTTTGTGGCGGGCGTGGCAACATAGCATGTCGGATTTTTGTGCATCATTGACTGTTGTACGCGGTTGAGCCAAGGCGGAGGATGACACGGATGGCAGCGCAGGAGCTTATTGGATCACAGGAGGGCATGGCTTTTACGGTTGATCCAGGCAAACCAACAGTAACATTCACGCAAGGACAAAATTGATAAACGAAAAAGAGTGTCGTTTGTGACATTCAAAATGCTAAATAAAACACCAATACCCGCGCGGCCTCGCCCAAGACTTGGCGGAGGAACAGAAAATGCTTCATGGTCATAAACAACAAGACAACGAGACCCAGCCGGCCGGCAAACAGTCTATCAAGCGAAACCCAGGCTCTTTTTCTTCACTGTCGCGTCTCCAGAATGCCTATTAAAAACGGGCGGGGGAGAGCATGGATAGGCGCTGCCGCTGTCCCGTAAGATGGCCAAAGAAAGTGGATTAATAGGGTTGGCAGCTTCTCGAGGGTATATACAACCCAACCCATGTGTACAGCAAACAAGGCACTCGCAGAAAAAAGAATCGTCCCCTCTTCTTCAATTGACAAGGCGCTCCTGCGGCGGACTGACCGCTTACAGGAAGAAGATGGAACCGGCGAGGGCCAGTAGGCTGAAGGGCACATTGAGCGAGGAGCCGGCGGCGACGGGGGGAGCGGTGCCGCCGGGGGGGTTGGCGCCGCCCGAGGGGGTAGATCCACCGGCACCGCCGCTGGGGTTGGCACCACCAGGGTTGCGGCCGTTGCCACCACCGGTACCGGCACCACCGCCAGCGCCACCGCCAGTGCCAGTGCCAGCGCCAGGAGCCTGGCCGGGAACAGTGGACTGGGGGACAGTGGAGGCGAGCTGGCGGTAGTTGGCGAGCGAGCGGGAAGAGTTGGCAGCAGTGCTGATGGACAATGTTAGCATCTCTGCTCCGGTATTGATAGGGGGAACTCTGGAGTCATGCTTACTTCTCGTTGATGACCATGACCATGCCGTTCTGGCAGTGCTTGGCCTGGGCGCAGTACAGCCACATGGGGTTGGTGTTGTTGATCATAATGGTGTAGACGGGGACCTGGCCCATGGCGGCGCTGGCGGCGAAGGGGACGTAGCCAGAGTGGACACCAGTGACGTTCCTGACAAAGTTGTTGATGGGCGAGCAGGGGTTGTCGAAGGGGGACTGGGTCACGGTGTGGTTGCCGCCCATGAACTGGAACTGGACGGCATCGCCGACGGCCGCCCTAATGTTGTTGGGCTGGAAGGTGGTGCCGTTCCTGCCGACGATGACGCTGACTGTCCTGACCGGGCTGCCGCCACCGCCGGGGCGGGTGCTGTTGCCACCGCCGGTACCGTTGCCGCCGCCGGTGCGGGTGCCGTTGCCACCCTGAGCCTCAACGCCGACAAAGGCGGACAGAGCCGCGAGAGCAATGGTGGAGAATTGCATATTGAAATGAGGAGGTTTTAAAAACGGCGGGAAGAAGATATTTTTCGTTCGGGTAAAATGCACCGAGTGAGTGGTAGATGCGTAGTATAGAAAGCGGTGTTGACCTGAGCGACTGGCGCTTGATGAATGGGAAGGACTAGCCTTGGAACGAAAAAATTAAAGGTAGGCGGAAAGAAGGGTTGGATCTCTGGGATACTGGAGACTGAGGAAAGAAAGAGGGAAAAAAGAGAGCCCAGCATGGAGTGAAGGAAACAGCATAAATATAAGGAAAACTGAAATGGGCCTAGGAGACTAGGGTCAGGGGGGGGAGGGCAGCAGAGGCTCGCGCGAGTGACCGCATATCCGGGGGTGAACCGGAAACAGGGGTGGCAAGTTGCGAGGCGGGCCCCAAAGTGGACGGGACGAAGGCGGTGGGAGGGGCGTGTTGGAGGAGCGGTTAGGGGGTGCTTGAAACATAGTACCAAGGGAGTGGCGTTTTGACCCTCTGGCCAACAACCCTGCGCCGCCGCCGCCCCATTTCCTCATGGGTGTGTTCTTTTTTCTTCTTTTTTTTTTCGGGTGGTGGTTTCTTTGCTTTCCTCTGTTGCCGGGCCAGGACAGGGCAGCAAAAAAACTACCAGGGCAAGCGGGCGGAGAATGATGGGAAAGAGGCCTCGCGGGCGGTTGTGCTATCAACCGTCATCCAATGATTCCAACCCCTTTCAATCCCCGGGCAGGGCGAGATCAGCCCGGGTTTGCCATTTGCACTTGCTGGCGGCAGGGGCAAGGCCTATCAGATCGGGCTGCCAGAGGCTTGCCGCCGGCATGCTAGGCGGCGCCGGCCCCCGAGACCAGGCGGGAAAAGGGGAGGCCGGAGTTTGGGGCGGAGGCGTCAAGAGAACGAATGGAGGACTCCCATGCGCTCGCTATCGAACCTGCCACTGCCAACCTATACATTGCTTGCCCTTACAACTAACTGGGCGCCAGGCGCTAAGGTTTGACACATGCCTTGGCGGCCACGCGCTAGCGGCTCTTTTTGACCTTCCTGGCCCTCGATCTCGCGAGATGGTGCCAGTGTCGAGCGCAAGCGCCGAGCACTAGAAATGGGCTGTCGCGATGACCAAACAGGGCGCGTCTCTTAGCGTCCGGCCTGTGCGGTGCAGCCGGCCAGTGAAAATCGGGATGGCACGGCGGGCTGCAGCCCCAAGCGTGCTAGGGGAAGACATCGCGGCGCGTGGGTCGGACGTCGACAAAATGTGGCGCCTGAGTTGAGACGGGGGATTCTGTTTTCCCCACCCCTAGCTGACGAGGATTTAAGGTTAGTCTCCACCCCGGCTAGTCAGGGATCCCATGTGTGGGACAGGGTCGAAAGGGCTCTGTCCAATCGTGGCCTGCGTGCTGGAGACAGGACGGGATGTGTCAGCCCAAAATGAGATAGCCTACTGGGGCCCTAGCTCTCGGATGAGCTTCTTGCGGCGAGGCTCAAACATAGATGAGACTCGACGCCGTCTCACTTTCGCTTCCGAACAGAAAGCGGCTCCACGCCCTCGACATTGCCTCCTCCCCCGGAAACCGAAATTTGTCCTTTTGGCCCAGCTCTTTCCACGTCCGCTTGGCGCTAACGCGCAACGTGACCGTGCCGGTGGATTGTCGGTCTGGTGGCTGTGTCAATGGGCGATAATCCCAGATCCCGACTGGGCATGGCGACAGCGGCAATGCCGCTCACCGTCGCTCATCACGGCGGCTGTTATTCCCGTGGCTGATATTACCATTGGAGACGGAGATTTGAGGCTCAGAGGGTGACGTTTCCACACCAGAGGGCCCAACAGAACTGGTCTCCACAGCCGCGTGTGCCAAGCTTTTCTGTCTCGGGGCAGATCCGTGATGCATCCACATGCCACCCGCAGGAATCCCGTGTGTGAAGTTTCGATATTTACCCTTCGAGGGTGTAAACAGCAAGCGTGTGCTTCTGCCCAGGCAAATATCGGTCGTCGGCAGCTTACTTGGGCTTCATAGTTGAGGCGGACGGCTGATGGAGGCGCTCGTCCCGTTGCGATCCATACGAACTGCACCGGTTAACCGGCAACTAATGCGCATGCAAGTTTTGCCGTCTGTGTTGCAATCGTGTGCGCACGTACTCCTCAGATGGAGCCGGAGGGTCATTGGACGGAGTCCATATCCCGCCTTGAGTCTGACCCATCTCTCGTCGACGGGGCAAGGGGCTTGCTTCTCGGACCCAGGCCATAAGGAACAACATCCACTTCCCGGAGGACCGCGTTCACGCGTGCACGTTTCCTCGTGACGGGATCCGTGGTTGCAGCCAACCCCAGTGCCGGTGAGGCCAATTCGCTGTCCTCGATGATGCCCGGCTCTGCAGATCTGGAAACGACCGTAGCCGTCGGGCCACACCACATCACCTTCCTCTTTCTTTTTCTTTGTTTCGAGCAACGGCGGCCCACTCACAATCTGCACCCCTTGTTGGCCACGGCCACGAGTCAGTGCGGTGGATGTTTCGTCGACGGATAGCCGGCACCAAAAAAGACCTTGCCTCTTGCTACCTCTCCATGGCCGGCGGTCTGAGATTGGGCAATTGATGGCTTAAAACTGCCAGAAATAGATGTCCTTTTGCCACGCATATGGAAACGCCGAGTCTTCGCCATCACCACAAACCATTAGCCACCCAAGAGAAAATAGATACGCATGTTTCCGTCAATCCTCGGCCGCTCTTCAAGCACAAGAGGCGGCGTCCCATTGTCTCTGGCAACTGACGTGGATATGCGAAACACGCAGTCGCCCGCTCGTCTCTTGATCGTCCCGACACCGGGACGATTGCTGTTACAACGGGCAGTGGCCTTGCTGCCCAGCATGGCAGGCTTTCGGATGAAAGGCCCTTTTCCTGACTGGGGGGAGGTCATTGTGAAGCACTTGTAGAACCGAGCTCTGTGTGTGGGTGCCCGGGGCCGGCTTCCCCATCTGGAAAAGGTAGGGGGTGCCCCCCTCGTGAGGCGACAGGGCGTGTTCCGCGGGATGATCACGATGGGAAAGATAGCCGACGCGAGGCTGGCGGCGGCGAACCGTTGCCCAGCCTGCTGTCTGCAGCTGACACCATGACCCAGGATATTTGGGGCTGCGGGATCGATGCGCGTCGAGCAGATCTTGTCTTGGCACGGAACTGCCACAAGCGAGGGGGGGGGGGGGGGGGGGGGGGGGGACAAAGTAGGCGAGTGGGTCCGCCCGTGTGCGTAGGG